TTGCTATAGTCCTTGGACCTATAGACATGAGCTCTGCCGCCATATGAATGGTTACTGATAAAGGAGTTTTCTGTGCAGGGAGGAGGAAATGGGAGGAGAAAGAAAATGAGAGAGGAGGGGATGGTGATAATGGTAAAATCCACACCTCCAACAGAGAGGGCCTTTCCCTGAGGATAGCTTGTTAGTGTGACATTAAAGAATTGTTGTGTGCTGAAGCAATCTGAGAATGAGTCCAATATTACAGGCAATAAGGAAGGAAAAGACTAAATATTAGATAAATTAGATAAATATTTTTTCTCTTATTACTGATCAGATAACCTAGTGGATTTTTTGTTTGTTGAGACAGAATGATTCCATGTAGTTCAGGCTGTCCTTGAACTTATTATGTGGACCAAGTTTGCCTCCAACTTGTGGCAATCCTTCTGACTTTGAGTACTGAGAATAGAAGTGTCTGCCTATACACTTGGCCCTAATTGTTTTTGAAGAAAAAAATGGAAATTAGGAAACTGTCTGACCTTGTCTGACAGAAGCCATGCTACATGCATTTTATCAAATACAGGTCAATATAAGTGTGTTTATCAATTTTAAAGAAGGCAAGGGTTAGCAGTGTTTGCTAGATCATGTACATTCAGTGCATTTTCAATACATTGTATTTTGAATTGCCTGTGGGTTGACCAAGATATTTTTACTTGGTAATTCAAGCAGAATATGTAGACCCATTCCTTCAACTCTTTGTAAGTGCTTCTCTGTAGAATATGAAACTTATCACACTGTGATAAGTATGCTGTGTTAAGTGCTGTATTAATTAGGTTCTCCCAAGCAACTAAACTCAGATATATTGGGGGTAGAGTTTTAATTTTTTAAAAAAATCCTGTGGCTTTTATTTTCTCACTTTGGTTTGATGTCATTGTTTACTTATTAGTTTTAGTATTATAGAGAGGTGTGCCACTCCAGTCATACTGTCTGTCTTGTTTCATTAGGAAATGAGTCTAAGATAGAAATTGTCAGTGATCAGACACAGGGCTGAGCAGTTGGACCACAAGACACAAAGCATGTACAATGCTGAAGAGAAAACACTTCCATTCCTAGTTCTATTTTATGCTGATTGTAGGAACCATTCTTACTCCCTCAATCTTGGAAAAAGTATATGACTTTCTATTCTACCCTTTTCTGTTTTTCCACTGCCTCTTTCTTGCCTTAATGGGCTGAACTCATGTCAGCCTAGAACTATCACCTCCCAGACTTGGGACCTTTTTTTCCTTTTCAGTGACTTAACATCTGTCTGTGGAAAGAGGTGACCACAAGCATTTGTTCTGTGTTCCTTATGTGGCTGGAGTCTGCAGTCCCTGAGTTTCCCATAAGTTCTCCTGAATTCCACACACTCTGTGAGCAACTCTCTCATGTTGGCATCCTGGAGAAGCCTGTGGGAACGGCCTCTGCAGAAGGGCACAGCTGAGGTAAAGCACAGAGCTTCAGTTCCTTCACTCCTTAGTCTGGCCTCTGCACCCCCAATTTGTGTAATCATGGCACAGTAAGCAATAGAAATATTTTTGAAATTTGGCTCTAGTAGAATCAGAAAGTCAGTAGAGATGGAAGAAGAAGAGAATAAGCATTGGATTGATGACACATGCCTGTAAACCCAGAATTCATGAGGCTGAAGCAAAAGGATTGCCGTGAGTTCCAAGACAGCCTGAGCTGCATAGGGTGACCCTGTCTCCAAAAAAAAGAGAGGAAAGAAAAAGTGTGCAAGTACCAACTAGGAGTATTTTGGGTCACTCAGCTTGGGGTTGGGGTGCAGAGATAGATGGCAACTCCTGAGGTCTTTTTGGCCTCTCATGGTGCCATGTCATTCAGAAGCTTACGTGTCCACTACACTTGCTAAGTCACATTTTTCAGCCACTGCTGAGTCCATACTTCACAAAACATGTGGATGTAATACAACATCTTTTAAATTTCCACAGTTATGAGAAAGCAGACTTTTCAAGTTCTGTCACTGCTATAAATATGCCGGAAGCATTCTCTTTCTTGCTGCCCTAGAAACAGATTAGAGAAAGTATCACTGATGCTCAGGTCCGCTTTTGCTAGTGCCCAGAGTGTATAGCAATTTAAATCTCATACACGCTCTCCACACACTGCCACCAGGGGGCAATATTTCTTATTTCTCTTCCCCCAAACCAGCACATTTTTTTCAAATTTGATGAATTTTACTAATTTTAATTGATATTCATTTCTATTTTCCCTGTCTTTTATGTCCTTTTTCCCCCTTTCCTGTGTAAGACCTTCTGTAATTTATTTGCTTATATGTTTATATTAGTGTTGGGGCTAGGTTTTTTTTTTTTTTTTTTTGGTACTGGAGATCGAATTCAGGTCCTAGCACTTGCGCAGCAGGTGGCAAAACCACTGAGCCAAACCCCCAGCCCTGAGGCTAGTTTTTTAATAAGCTATTTTCTAGTTATTTATCACTGGTAGAGAATGAAAATACTTTCTATAATTTTTAATCTGCAGATTAATGAGGAATATTCTTTGCTGAACAGAAACCTTGTTACTCTTTTTTGTATTTTTTTACAGTCACCTCAACATTTGTGCCTTTACAAATTTAAATCTGAAGATTTTCCCAGCCTTATCAGATGAAAAAGTGAATTTCTTATACCTTCTTCCATATTTTACAGTTTCTTATTTTGTGTTTTTGCCTTATATCTGCCTGGGGTACACCTTGCAAAGTTTGTGATGAAAAAGTCAGGTTTACTTGGGCCACAAAATGTATAATTTACCACCATAAATGTGTAATCCATCACTTGTTTCTCTTGCTTTATACTGCCAACCATATCAAATCTCACTTTAGAATAAAGCAGAAGTATTTATTGATATTTCTTATAAATTTAGTGTGTCTAAATATTGTCTCATTTTCAGACTTAAATGACTATACCTCTAGATTGTGTCCCAAAAGTTGGAAAGGTAAACTTCTCTTTGCTTGGTTTTTTTTTGTTGTTCTTTTTTTTTTTTTTTTTTTTTGAGAGATTTGAAGAATATAGTGCTGTTCTTTGTTTTTGAGAAGGGATTGTAGAAAATTTTTGTCACACATATAGTTGCTTCAGTGGTATTAAAATATAATTTGAAATTGTATTGTATTAAGAATATAATTATATTATTACTATATGTTAATCTTAATTGTATTAAGAATAAAATTTGAAAATTTTATAGAATATCACATCAACTCTAAGTCTGTACATTATTTTCTACATGCTCAGATTACCTTCTCCAATTTATTTGTCTTTTGATTTTTTAAAATGGGGATTCCCTATGTGTTCAGGTGACCTTGAATTCATTATGTAGCCCAGGGTGAACAAGAACTTGTGTTATAGCTGGACATGGTGCATCCTTGAAATCCCAGCACTTGGGAGGCTGAGGCAAAAGGATTGCCTTGAGTTGGAGGCCATCCTGGGGTACATAGTGAGTCCAATACCAGCCTGAACTACATAGCAAGACACTGTCTCCAAAAAAAACCCCCAAAAGAATAAAGAACTTGTGGTTTTCTTCTGCCTCAACCCACCTTAACTGCCTGGCTGTCAGATTTTTTCTGTGCATGTGGCTGATTTTTAAAGAATTTGTTGATAAGGCTTTATAAAGGTAGATATATAAATGCTTGGAAGTGTATGAGTATTTCTCATTGCTGATTAAGTCTTTACATTGATATGTGAGGATTTTCTTATATAATGCAAAATATTGGCATAGATTGAGGCAAGTAGCAGAGTGGTCCATCTGATAATTCCTTTTAAAGCTGATGTTAGAAGTTTATGCAAAAATTGATAAAAGTTCATTCTTCTAATAAAATGTTTTTAAAAACATAGTTTCTTCCCTAAAATGTTCATGATGTTCACATAAGTATATTCTTTCACTTTTTTTTTTTTTCATTCTTTCACTTTTGATTCTATTAAGAAAATGGCCTGGGATGTAGCTCAGCAGCACAGCACCTGCCTGGCAAGCATAAGGCCCTGAATTTGATTCCCAGTACCAAAAAAAAAACAAAGGAGAAAAAATAACAAATCATTCTTTAAACTTCTAGTATGTCTCATCCTTAAACAAACCAAAGACTGTTTGTTTCTCTGTAGTTACTATGTGAATACTGACCTTGATTGACAAAAAGATTTGAGAGCTATTCCTTATACTATGTTTTTTTATTCCAAATCCTTTGGCTTTTTTGTATTCATATAGTTTTAGTATTAAAACTATGGGAAAGACTATAATATTTTTCAGTTATTCTCTGACAAGATAGATCTTCTCGTCATGTTACATCTTGATCCTTTCATCATCTATGGATAATGATTTGGCCTCTTCCATTTCAATCCTCATGATGTGAATTTTGGTCTCATGTGACAGAACAGTGGGGACAGTGAATGTCTTTGACTCATTTCTGATCCTAAAAGAATTCATGTAGCGTGTCTCTATTTAGAGTCCCATATATTAGTTTCATGGTATATGTACTTTGTCTATTTACTAATCCCTTTCAGTTTTTTATTACAGACATTTAATGAATAATTAATAGAAATTGAGATTTAGAAAACATGTTTATGCCAAGATTCAAATAATCACGTGAGGTTTTTCTTTGTTGATTTACATTCCTTTTGCTGAACTGTCTTAATCTTTGATAAAATATACAAACCACTTAATTGTGATATTTTGACTGTGTGGGTGTGTATGTATATGTGTGAAAATGTGATTGTGTGTTTGTGTATATGTTACTTCAGATTAGGACTAGGACATCACATATACTAGTGACTGATGCTACCACTTAGCTTCTTGCCAAGATGAGAAGCTATTTTCGACCAAACTCTTGTAATATGCTAGTTCATGTTTTATCCTGGCTATGAAAATCTGTATGCATAGGTGTTACAGTCATTTTTGTAACCATGTTGCCCATTTTCAGGTAAAGATCATAGTAACTTGATGAAATTTCTGTAGAGATATCCTATTTATATATGTATGTATGTATTTATTTCTAGACAGGGTCTTACTCTGTTGCCCAGGCTGACCATGAACTCATGAATTCTCCTGCCTCAGTCTCCCAAATGCTGACATTACAGGTATTTACAACCATGCCTGGCTCTCCTACCCCCTCTTTTTTTTTAATTAGACATGGGAGACCTTGTCTAGCTGAGCATATGTTTTTTTTTTTAGTAAAATGGTTGCATTTGTATATATTTTATATACATAACATATGATGAGGAATTGGTGCATACAAATCTCATGTTGATCTGTATCTTAAAGTTTCATGGAAACACCTGTAATCCCATTGGGAGATGAATTTATAAAGGGAAGGTTTTTGTATGTGTGCCATAAATAGTTTGACAGTTTTCAAAGAAAATAACAAGTACAAAATACCATGGAGAAATTTTCTTAGAGTATTGTGACTGGAACTCATAAGAAATCATTTACAGGGCTAGGGATGTAGCTCAGTGATTTCGCCACCTGCTGCACAAGCGCAAGGACCCGAGTTTGATCCCTGGTGCCAAAAAAAAAAAAAAAATCATTTACAACAGAGGAATAACAGAGATCATTTATGACAGAGGAAGCTCCTGACAAAACAGGAAGAGAAGAGAAGTGACAAGAATGCCCTGCCACATAGGAAAACTAAGCACATCTGCTGTCAGTGTAAGCGAGATGTGTGCTTGGAACATGCAGTTGTCATGTATGAAGACTGTCTTGGTTGTGACAGTTGAAGCAAAGATTATTTTTATTATAGAGTTCTATTGATAGTTTCATTTTAATTCATATAGTTTTTGATTTCTGATGTTCTCAGGTTTTGTAAGCAAGTACACAGCTGATGTAAAAATGTTACTGCCTATTCTAAGTACTCATTATACATTTGATATTTTATTTTATTTATATCTTATTTCCCTCCTAAGTACATGTTGTACAATACAGTGGGAAGCCCTTGACAAAACAGGAAGAGAGGTGACAGGATTTGCCTGCTACATAGGAAATGAAAGCTAAGCACATGTGCAGTCAATATCAGCATTACATGTGTGTGTGGAACATGCTGTTGTTATGTATGAAGACTGCCATAGGTATGATAATTGAAGGAAAGATTTTTTTATAGAGTTCTATTGGTATTTTCATTGTAGCTCATATAGGAATTTATTTCTGTTGTTATTTTTTAGACTTTGTAAACCAAAGAACGGTTGATGAAAATTTTGCTGCTTTTCTATAAACAAATATGAAAAATTCAATACTTTCTTTTACTAATATTTTCCTGTTAAGTACTCATTGTTTAATATAATAAAACTCAAAATTAAAATTGATATTTCATCAACAGAAATATTCTAAAGAATAAATGTCAGTGTAATACTCCCATGTTTATTGCCCTTTATGACAAAATTAATGTTATCCTCTGCTGATATAGAAAGGACAACCTACTCAATGAAACTGTATGAAGAGATGGTTTTCAAAAGGTAAACAAAACATGTAAATTTTAGGCACAGAACAATATTCAACTACAATGGTGAGGTAACCTCCAATGCACAAGGAAAAAAGGATAATTCTGATTTGATTATTTGATCTGCACATTTTTTGTCATGAAAATCAGGGTTAGGGCTAAGGTTGATGGTTAGTGCTGAAAGATTTGTATTGAGCACCTTTGTCTCGCTTAACTTATCAGTGTTGCTGAGAAGTAGACAAATAACATGAACTTGCCAGCAGGAATTTAAAGGTCAGTGACTGTATGCTGAGACCCATGTTAAAAAGCAAATGGCAGCTTGGGATTTAGCTCAGCAGCACAGCACCTGCCTCTCAAGTGCAAGGTGCCGAGTTCGAGCCCCATACCAAAAAATAAAAGCAAATGTCACTGTACTTCTCCTTGGTACACTTTGTCCTGAAGACCCTTACCTTGCAACCCCCCAACCCCTACATCTATGTGCATTGTAAACACTAGAAGATCTGTTAAATATGACAACCTGCAGACTGCTGGAAAGAAGGTATTTCTTTTTTTTTTTTCATTTAGTTTATTGGTACAATTTAAGTATACAATACAGTTACATTCATCATTGGGATCTTGTACCTTTACATGATGTATCTTGGTTCTTCATTTTTCAACATTCCCCTGCCCTCCCTTCACCCCTTCCCCCCTTCCCTATTTACAAAGACTTTGTTTCCCTGTTTTTCCTTCTCTCATATTTTTTCTTTTCCTTTCTTTCCATTCCGCTTCCCCTCCCACTTCCCCTGTTCCTTTAAACATTTCCTTCCTATTTCACTATGTTAATTACACATTTTGATTCTTATTTACACTTTTAGTGTTTTTTGTTTTTTGGGGTTTTTTGGTGCCAGAGATCAAACTCTACACTTTTAGTTTTTCACACCAGAAAAACTATTCAGTATTTACACATGTGTGTCCTATTTATTTCACTTAAGAGCATGGCCTCAAAGTGTATCCACTTAGCTGTAAATGTCTCAAGTTTTTCATTCTTTATGGCTGAGTAGTACTTCATTTAATTTAAAAAACACATCTTCTTTATCCAGTCTCCAGTTGATGGGCAATTGGGCTGCTTCAAAGTTTTAGCTATTACAAACTATGCTGCTGGAAACAGGTGCGTATGTCACTGTGATATGATTCTTTTCTTTTGGGAAAATACCCAGCAGGGTAATAGCTGGATCAAATGGGACTTCCAGTCCTAGTTCTTTGAGGTATCTCCATACAGGGATTTCCACAGTGGTTGCATTAGTCTGCACTTCCACCAGCAGTGGAGCAGTGTTCCTCTTTCCCTACAGCCCCACCAGCATTTGTTATTGGTTGAGTTCATGATAGCAGCCATTCTTTCTGGGGTGAGGTGGAATCTCAGTGTTGTTCACATTTGCATCTCTTGAATGAACAGTGACATTGAACATTTTTTCATATGTTTATTTGCTATATCTACTTTGTCTCAGAAAAGTCTGTTCATTTCAGATGCCCATTTTTGAATTGGGCCTTTATATTTGGGGGTCTGATTTTTTTGAGTTCTTTATATATCCTAGATAGTACACCTTTGAGGAACAGCTGGTAAAATTTTTCCCACATTGGAGGTTGTCTGTTAGCTCTATTGGTGGTTTCTCTTGCACTGCAGAAGCTTTTTAATAAGGTGAGATCCCAGTTGTTGATTCTTTATGGTAGTTCCCATGCTACTGAGGATTTGTTCATAAAGTCCATTCCTATGCCAAGAGAGTTTACCTAACTTGTCTTCCAGCAAGTTTAGTGTTTCTGACTGAAAGCCCATCAGAATCACAGCAGACTTTTCAGTGCAAGCCCTCAATGCAATAAGAGCTTGGAGTGACATATTTCAAGCCCTAAAGGAAAACAGCCTCCAACCCAAATTGATGTACCCTACAAAACTATCTTTCAAAATTGATGGAGAAATAAGATACTTTCATGACAAAGAGCACCTTAGGAACTTCACAAATACCAAACCAGCACTCAAAAAAATTTTAGAGAGTGTCCTAGGAAAAGACAACAATGATCACAGCCCAGGAAGCCCAGCAGAATGAATCCATTGGACATGATAAGAAATTAAACGCAAAGGGAGAGAACACAACAAAAACAAAAAGTCATAACGATAAGTCAATACATATCAGTTATAACATCAGTGTTAATGGTCTCAGTTCACCAGTCAAAGGAAATAAACTGACAGAATAGGTCAAGAAGCAAGATCCAACAATATGCCGCATACAAGAAACACAATTAAAAAAGAAACTCATAGACTGAAAGTTAAAGGGTGGAAAACAATACTCCATGGGACAGGAATCCCCCCAAAAAGCAGGAATAACTATCCTCTTTGGAGATCAAGTGGATTTCAAAGCAACACTGATTAAGACAGAGGAGAACACTACATTCTGGTAAAGGGAACCATCGAAGAGGAAGAGATGACAATCATAAACATATGCACCAAACAGTAGTGCCCCCAACTAAATAAAACAAATATTAACAGACATGAAAAATAAAATAAGCACTAGTACAATAGTAGTGGGGGACCTCAGTGCTCCCTGTCACAAATAGATCAACTAGACAAAAAATAAGCAATGAAATACTAGAAGTCAATCAAACTCTTGAAAACATGAGCTTAACAGAGGTTTACTGAGTGTTCCACCCCACAAAATCAGATTCTTTTCAGAATCTGATTACACATTCTTTTCAGCTGCACATGAGTCATTCTGCAAAATACACCACATACTCGCTCATAAGACATAGAACATGTTTAAGTGCAAAGGAATTGAAGTTATCCCCTGTATGTTATCAGACCATAGTGTAATGAAATTGGAGATCTATAGCAAAAGAAACTGCAAGAATTTCATAAACATATGGAAATTGAACAACACACTTCTGAATAACCAATGGGTCACAGAGGAAATTAAACAAGAAGTCAGTTGCTACAATTAAATGACAATGACAGTACAACATATTGGAATCTATGGAACACAATGAAAGTCTTTGAAGGGCAATTCATAACAATGAATACTCATATTAGGAAAACAGAGGGAGCCCAATTAACCTGATGCTGAACCTCAAGCTTCTAGAAAAAGAGCAGGACAAACCCAAAGCTCATATGAGGGAGGAAACTGTAAAGATCAGAGCAGAAATCAATTCAAAGGAGATGATACAAAAAAACCAATGAAGTCAAGAGTTGGTTCTTTGAAAGAATAAATAAAATTGACAAACCCTTAGTCAACCTTATCAGAAAAAGGAAAGAAAAGGCCCAAATCTATGCAATTAGGAATGAAAAGGATGACATTACAATGGACCCACCAGAAGTACAGAGGATCATCAATACCTACTTTGAGAACCTATACCCCAATAAGATGGAAAACACAGAAGAAATAGACAGATTCGTAGATACATATGAATTACCAAAGTTGAATGAAGAAGACCAAAAAATTCTAAACAACCCAAGATCAATCAATGAAATTGAAAATGTAATTAAAAACTTACCAACTAAGAAAAGCCCAGGTCCTGATGGCTTCACTGCTGAATTCTGCATGACATTTAGAGAGGAGCTGCTGCCACTATTGTTTAAACTCTTCAGTGAAATTGAAGGGGAAGCAATACTCCCAAATTCATTCC